CAGCTAAAAGCAAGTCTCGCGGGCCGCAAATATTAATCACTACTAGGCCTACCTGATCTGTGTGCATAATACCTATTATAATATTATATTATAATATATAATATTATAATAGTACTTTATAATATTATAATAGCTATTAACCATGTGTATGTACTGTATGTACAGTATATGTACTGTATAAGGAAAGTGCTTCTGAAGTTGCACAGCTGATGAAGGACTTCTGTCTGAAATGTCCTGTTTTTCAAGCAACCTTGTGTACTACACCATAACTTTTCCATCCTCTCTCTCTGTATTAATATATATATCACCATCACTGAATGGTTTGCCATATTGAGCAAGTAGCCACGAAATTTTGAACGTGGCTAGTGTCACCGCCTGGGACACTTTTAAAGTAAAGTAGCTCATAAGATTTTCTGCTTGGCAATAGCACTTTTTTATTTATCTTGAGAGACCTGTCACTTGAATCAGGTGGGTATTGCTTGTCAAAATTCTTGTAGTAGTATCAAAATGTATTTTTACGTTGTACGCTTTGCAAGCATCAAGAATTGGACTACAAAGCCAACGGAAAGGCCGCCCATCTCTATCAATCACGGCCCATGGCCCATGTCGTTTTTCACCCCTTATAAAAAACCCATCAATTTTTCTTCCTTTTTTATATGAACTGCTGTGAGGGGGCTATTCTTTGCGCTCAGACGTATGACGGGCACGATGGTGAGGGTGATATGAAAGTATGTTCTAGTGACGCTCGTTATAGCCCACTTGCAGCACTTTAATGAAGTAAAAGATGAATGAAAATTAACCTGATCACCAGTGAATCTATTCAGAAAAGTTTTTTACCTGACTAGAACACACTGCAAGCTCTACCTATTTTTTAAATCATTTTTTTATCAAAGGAATCAACTGCAAACAAATGTAATTTATTAAAAAAGGGGTCAGATGTTGCAGGCCGCACTTTCGTGTGGGGTGGGTCGCAGGTTGTGAACCACTGGGTTAAGGGGTAGAGTCAGATTCACAATAACAAATGTATTTTTTCTGTAGTGTTTGGTCATATTAGTTTGAATATATTGCTTCTGTAGTTTCTTTTGTGTTTTTGTGATCATTTAAAGCAGGGAACTGAAAAAACAGATGAAATAAGTCAAAATATGCATCAGGATTTACTTCTCTGTGCTGACATTTCTGTAGTGGGCGAGGGTTAGACGCCATTATTCATAAGAAATATTTTTAACAATATACAGTACACTGCAAAGCCAGGTAGCGTAAATAATATCACGTTCTTTTATTTCTCTCATTTTGCTTTATAACATAAAGCTTTTGTTCTAGAGTAATGGCTTTCCTTTTCTTTTCACATGCGCCACACACACTAACTGTATACTCATGCCATTCATTGGAACTCTAAAATTTGTATTAAATTATTTTTTATCAAGTCCATCAATCTACTCATCACAAACAAAAGTATCCCCATAATACAAATATATCTATACCTGCCTACTCGACACACAGAACACATGAGACAAATTATCCACAAGGGATACCATTCACAAACCAGCACAAGAACCTCATGGATCCCAGTTACCAAAACCCAAATGTCCCATAGGAACAGTCCAGCATCTCCATTCTCTAAAGCAGCTAAAAGTCCACCTAACAGGTTTCTGAAGCTCCCCCACCCAGGGCTTGGTACTCCTCCTCGTGGGGGTGGAAGTGTCACTTGATGTTTTGGGTCAGCCAACAAGCTTGGGCAGAGCTAACAACATGCTGTGTGCAGATGGCCAGGTGTAATATCATTGTGTATTCGTACCTTGTTCTAGAGCCCCATCTCAGTCTGAGTCTTTAACTGAATGCCCAGTTAAACGTGTTATGCAATCACACAAGTCACCTTTGAGCTGTGAGGTAAGTAACCAGCATCTGTGCAAGGAGGACCTTTGATCTATGGGAGGAAGCTTAAAAGAACAATGAGACAAAAGACAAGAAAGACATCAGTCAATAGGGAGACACTGGCCATTCAGTGCAAACTTAAAGACAATATACAGTAGTCTCTGAGCCAGTACAGTACCTGCTCTCCCACACCCACATTTAGTATCTCTGAGAGACTATGTTCCCAAAAAACGATAATATAATAGCCGAGCACAAACATACAACTTTGTTGCATATGCAGGCACATGCATGAGAGAATAATCCTGCATCCCAGATCCCAGACAAGTGTTGCTGCACTGAGGCAAACATTTTTATTCTACGCATGTGACTAGTTCCAGTATCACTAAATTGCCTTATAGCCAACATACAGTACGTCTGTGTCATGGGAAAAGTGTTCCCTAATAAATCAATCGTGCTACAGCCAATTCACCTTATTGAAGCATGCATAATACCAGAAATGAGTGTATTCACACTGAAGAAAAATACGTAACACATTTTTAACTAAAAAAATATCATTTTCTTTATTTTTAACATTGTTACCTTACATTTTTCTATAGTTCTAATGCAGTAAAGTGTTTCTCCTGGGTATTTTGGCTTTTTCTCCTCCTTTTTTGCTGGCACTGGACCACCTTCTAAGTCAGCTGAAATGTCGCACTCATGTGGTTTTAGCAGTGTGAAAGGGGGAATTGTCTCTGACCTGGCATGGTAGTCAGATAATAGAGGCTTTATTTTCATACTGAGAGGTAATACAAATGCACTGAAGCCTTCAAAAAGAAAATAATTCATTGAATTCTCAGGTCACAATTGTCGCCAGTGTGAAACAAATATAGTAAATGCTAAAGGATTTGCATTGGTGTTTGAAAAAAAAGATTTTGTCAGTGTTTCTGAACCAGTGATTGATGTTCTACAAGCACCTTGGTACTTAAACTTTGTGCAGCTTGGAGTGGGATGTCAGGATGTGATATTTTCTGACATGCAGGATGTCATCTTGAATTGTTAATGTATTTATTATATCAAGTGATCCTCAAATTCTGAGATTTTGCAAAAAATCCAAGGCACATTGTTACACAATATGTTACACAAATTACACAATCCCAGTATGCTGCTGGAAATTGTTGCTCTCGGTTTTCAGACATTGTCGATCATTGTTGATCTCCATTCTCATCCTCACCTATGGTCACGAGCTTTGAGGAGTGACTGAAAGAACGAGATCAAGTGTACAAGCAGCAGAAATGAAGTTGCTCCACAGGGCTGCTGAGTTTGCTCTTCATGACAGGAAGAGCCTGGCAGTCTGGGAAGACCTTGGAGTAGAGTCCCTGTTGAGGTGGTTAATGCATTAGGTAAGGGTGACCCCATGGCGCCTCCTGCAGGAGGTGTAGTATGCTCAGCCTATCAGAATTAGACCCCGGAGCATACCCAGGACAGGCTGGCTGTCACGGACGTCCAAAGGGACTAACCGTGGGGAGCAGCAGAGCAGAAAAAGACCCATATGCGTAGCGGCGAGACGGGAAAAAGGCCCGGGCTCATTAGTGCAAAGAGTTCAGGAATGCCGTATAGAAACCTATGCCCTCAGGGAGCGGACGTGGGGCGCCCTGGTGCTAGGCTGGTCTCAGGACATCCGAACGTCAATGCTGAGCGAGGACAGAGTGCAAGACCCTGAAATATATAGCCCAAGGGAAAGAGAGGGACCGGAAGGACAGCAGACCGGAAACTAGGGACAGGACAGAGAAGGAGCGCCCTCTGGCTGCAGAGGGCGTGACACTGGCTTTATTTCAAATGGAGTGGGCCTGAAAGAAATATAGTAAGGAATCTGTTGATTACAGATTTTAAACATTGTAACTGAAAGAGTTTGAAATATAAATTGATTATGTCAGGCTTAGATAACACCGTTATGCTCAAATTGGAATGAAACCTAAGAGGCCCCATGGCTCTTGAAGACCTGCGTTTGACAGCTTTGTTTTACTCTCTTGAATTATTGGTTAAAAAAAGAATAACACAGTAACACAGAAACTGGGGCATAAACAAATCACTCATTTTGACATCAGGTCAACAGTTGTGAATAAAACAGTTCACGATCAGTGGATTGAGGTCTTCAGCACTGAGTTGCAGATGGTTTATTTCAGCACTAAACACTTAAGGGCCTGGGCAAAGGTTCTGGGAATGGATCTTCATTATGGCAGGCAGAGGCCTGGCGCTTTATGGCACTACCCCATAATAAGCTCCACTAAGTGTAAGCCCAGCTAACTAAATCGTGTTTTGGCAACATTTCAGCATCGTTGTACTTCTGTTGTGACAACAGATCAATATACTGTAATGTAGTTCCAACACAAATCTGTAGACTCCAGGGGAGGCTGTGAAAACATTGTAAAATGACATTCAGGAAACCACATGGTCACATTATCATTTAACACTGTTTGCCCTGCTATGAGGCTGAACTTCTGTTGACAACAACCATAAGATTTTTCAGTATTGCTACCGTAATTTGTAGAATCCGAGGGCTGGTATCATAAAATCCTGCATGATACAATCACATTGTTAAATGACATTTATATAACCACATGCAAGGAAATCTTATTCTCACCTAAACAAATACTGAGAATAAAAAACTGCTATAATTGAAAGGAATGGAAACGAAACATATATTGTCAGTCATCATGTAATGAAGTCTTGTGGGCTCCAGCACTAGCTTCTTTGCTAAATCTGGGGAAGATACAAAAAATCACTTTCTACTTTCTTTAGGCTTATTTTCAGTGACACACTTCTACTGATTCAGGGGAGTGAAGCTGTGGGAGATAGAATAACTAGACTACGTTAAAACCCAATTCATTTATTTCATCTTACCTTCATAAATACAGTAAATCCAAGCCAGGTGTATGTCACAACATTAAAGAGATACAAATACTGTACATGAGATAAACAACCAGCAGCCAGTGCAGGAAAGAGGAGGTATTGAGAGATTTTTTAAAGGATTTTAAAGTTGTATAAAGCCTGTCACTAATTCAAACAAACACAATTCTTCTTTAGTGAACTTCACTGAGGTTTCACTGAGTGGCCTCTCTCTCACGATCCCAACATTTTCTCCCCCACAGTCGTCCGGAAGCAACAACACCTCTAATGGCGACATATAGTAAGTGTTTTCCTTCTTTCTAAAATTAACAGTTGTTAAGTTATTTCCACAAACATTGCACTGCATAGGGAACTGGAGAGGAAGAACTCCAATGAAACACTTAACAGAAATAAAAAAGTCAAATAAATAAAGAGCGAAAGGATGAATGATGCCAGTATGAGCACTATTAGTAAGCCATGATAAGCATGATGTGCTTGTTTTAACTTTTTGCATTTGAGTGGTTGTGCAGTATTGTGCTCTTTTGTGTATATTACCTTGTGGCTTGTACTGTGTATAGTACTATTTTTTATATCCTACTAGGAAACAAAGATGTCAAGAATTCAGAAGGAATGTTTTACAGTTTAGCTTTAATTACTGATCAAATCGAATCTGTAAAATACATTTCTCTAGTATGTGTAACACATACAGTATGGGATATAAATCTGATTTCAGGTTTCCAAATGTCCTAAGATATAAAGTCTCTCTAGATTTAAATAATCTATACTGTAGTTTCTTAAAATGCTTCCTAACTCTGCAACTTTTTACTCCCATGCAGGGTTAATGTGAACCCTCTCTCCTCTTTAGATTAGTTAACTGGAAACTTTAAAGCCCAACTATTTGTTTATGTAGGATGTTTTACTTGTTTTCATCTGTTTAATAATTGGATTTTGGTTTTGAACTGCTCTTAGTATTAATTTTACATTTCAGTTAACTGACATATAGTTCAGATGGAACTAGAAGACAATATGGTAACAAAGAACTAGAATGTAAAGTACTTCAAGTTAATCCATGAAACATGTCTTCTTCATAAGTCTATTTATATGTTGCTTCTACTGCATGTCAGCTGTTGCTATAGTAATAATATTTGTTAAACCAGGTCCTCAACTTCATATGGTTCTGTTGAAGTGCAGTGTTTCTGTAATGTTTATACGGCATGGATTAGTAATGTCACCTAGTATTATTTTACTACTGTATATTATGCGACAATGCAAAAGCATGATATTATGTACAGTTTAACATTAAGACATTGATGTAATTTCTAGTTGTTGGATGGGGATTTTTGTAACATCTTGGAATGCTGACAGCATTTATAGAACGTCTCTAGGTAATGCCTTAGAAAGAACTCCCATTCATTCCTCCATTTTCTAACTGCAAATTCAGGGTTGTTGTGGAGCTGGAGCCTATCTCAGAAAGTAATGGGCACAAGGCAGGATATACCCTGGTCAGGATGTCCATCACAGGGCACACACAGACACAAACACCCACACCAGGGCCAATTTTTCCAGAAGCCAGTTTACCTACCTAGGGAACTGGAGCACCCAGGGGTGCACCACACATCTGAAACTGAACCAAGAGCCCCAGAACTGCAAGGCAGCAATGGTAACCTCTGTGACAAAAGGAATGTGCCACCCGTTCGTAATCTATGTCATATACAGTATAATCAAACCATGGTGTTCCAGTTACTGTATATTGGTAAATAACAATGTCTTTTGTTAGCTGGGAGCTACCCCCATGAGCATAGAAATTTCTTGAGTACACTTACATATAAAAGCACAAGTGACAAAAGGCAGCTGGGGAGACGGATGAGGCTTTGGACATGTTGTTACGCTACAAGCCAGATGAACTTAAGGACTCTGTGCATTGGCTCACAGAAAGCAAAACCGATAGAGGAGTAGAGGGAAAACCCGAGTGTACTTATCCGAATCGCAGATCAAAGGCCGTGGTCAAAGGCAGGTTTAAAGGTCAGGAAGCCAAAGGCTCAGGAGTCAGGTAAATCACAAAGAAATCTCAAGAGTGAGAAGGGGAGCTCCGCTAGGTGAAAACCAAAACTGAGCGTTGAGGTCTAGGTGGTGAGGGCTTAAGTAATCCGGGAAGTGGAGTGTGCAGTGATGAAAGAAAGATCTGCTTGGTTTATTAATTAATGCGACGGCGTATGTTGGAATTGGAAAGAGCTGGAGTCTGATTGAGAACAATGTGGGGTTGTTTGCAAGACGAGCAGATGGTTGGATTCTGATTGTGGTCGGTCATGACAGTTGTGGGTTCAAATCCCATGTAACTTTCAGTACTACTAGTGTTGTGCCCTTGTACAAGGTATACTTCACACAGATTTCTCTAGTAAAACTCCTTTCTCTGTAAATAAGTACTCTCCAGATCAACACTATAATTCATATTAATTATGAATTAACTTTATTTTTAAATAAAGTGTGTCAAAATATAAATTGAGTGATGGGTCAGTAGGTCAGAGGAGCATGTTTATTCTTCCTTGTTCATTATTGCTGACATGTTTTTAAAGAACAAAACTGTATACAGTATATAACAAAAAACATTTACACCTAATGTGTGTGTTCCTATCAGCAAATCTCAGTGTTCACCAGATTTATATTAAATTGCAAAATATCCATGAGAATAAAAATTATTTAAGAAAAATGTGACAGACATACAGTATATTAAATTATTTTAATAAACTGCAATTTAGGCAGCATAGTGAGGTTTAAAACACATTATGGACCAAATGGTTAATCAAAGGTTCATACAGTAGGTTTAACTAAATGTTGTTCTTTGGCAGGATACACCAGGTTACTATGTGCACCCCTGGACCACAGCTGAGCCAGAGTCCATCTTTTTTGGTTAATTTGCTTGGCTGTATGTTTGATAGAATCAGTGAATCAGAAGCAGTGGAGTGTCCAAAAATGGAAGAACAAAATTAATTTGGGTAATGTGATTGGCTGAGCTTGGTTCCTGTTGTCCAGATGTGATTCATGTGGGCAGTTGGGACATCGTCTCATATAATAACTGCTTTCACAGGCTTAGCTGTCTTTTCACAGCTACATTTTATAGAGCAAAGTTGTACTTTCAGTAGCACAGAAATACTGTTTGTTCCCTTAATTCTAAGGACATTTCATAATGAAAATTGCCTTGAAAACTTTTTAGTATGTAATAAGTAATGTGTTTATAAGATATATCTCTTTTACCCCCCAAACAATTTTTCAGCACAAATTGTAAAGACAGTACATTCTTTCATTTCCAAAGGTGTTTGTAAATTTTGGCCTTCAGGTGGTTCAGTTTGTACCCTAGACCACACAAACTCTCAAGAAACTGCTATATATGACAGAATATTTACTGTTTATTAGACCTATAGGAACACTTTTTGTAATCTTGTGCAAAAGCGTAAAACTTTTTTTTTTACTGTTTTATAACTATTACTCATTTTGTAGTCTAAACTACAGTATATAATAAAATGCTTACAATTATTGTAAAATACATATAAAAAGAGCTAGATAAAATCATTTCACAGTATTGAAATCAATAAATGAATTAACTACAGGTAAATGTTTCTTTTTACCAGAAAAAACAGCAATTTACAGTGAGGTTATTGGGTAGCCACTGACTATTCTTATGCCACAATTTGCATAGACTTGACTGGAAGGTTTATACCATAGCTAGCAGTGTTTTAATTAGATACACTGCTAGGAATGAGATGGAGCTGACGCAGCTCATTGAAAACCCCAATGTAATTAAACGATTCAACCAACAGATGGCTCTAGATTTCAGTGTCTACTTTATCATCGTTTGACCTCTCTGTCAAATTGATGGTTATTATTTTCCGGAAAAGAATGTACTGTAAAAGGTTTGCACTGATTTAATTTGTTTCACTGTTTTGAAGCACATGCCCAAACCTACAGTTAATGGTACCATTTCTGAAACATTTGCACACAAATTCCTCATAGTTAAAATTTAAATACATACTGAAATTACACTTGCATATCTTGGATATCACCCACTGCTTCACTTGAAAATACAATTTTGAAAAAGTCTTTTTGAGATATAATGTTATGTATTTTTGGTTCAGTTGGAGATAAAATTGCTAGGTAAATCCCTTGTTGAGAGCAGTAACTCAAGGGAATTGCCCTAAAAGCAGTGAAGGTGTGCCTTTCCATTAGCTTTTTCTACTACATTTCTACTGCACCAATGTACTCATTTGATCTGTACACTAAAATGACTGCAGCCAAGTAACACAGTGAAGGCAGTGATGTCCTGTGCTTTTTATTCCCTATTAATGAGACTAAGAGCTTGCAATACACTTACAGGACTGAGCAGAATGGCCTACTTTCAACCTCAATTCTATGGAAACCCAAAGACATTATTGCCTCTCCTCATTTCTTCATGCTTGGGGGTGAGCAATTGAATTAAGTACATACTATATATTATTATAAAAAAAAAATCTCAGAAAAAGTGTTGTGACAACAAAGGTTAATGCACAATCATATACAGTGGTACAGCTCGTAAGTGAGTGCTCAATGCTCCGCAGGACAAAAACACCAAAGTTAAGCATTTTCTAAAAACTCTAGTAATTGCGTCCTCACGCAGGCTCCCCTTTCATATTTTGAAAGCGGTAATTCATTTAAAACACAATGGGCACCTTCCCTTAGGTAACATCAAAGGTCTGTTTCCTCTAATTATAAAGGTGTGCAGTAGCTGCCAGTGTTGATTTGGTTTACAGTGGAATTCAGAATTCATACTTAACTCTCACGCCATTGCAGACCCTTCTGTTTCATTATTGTTTGTTTTATAAATGGTAATTGAAAAACTGTCACTTGACTATTATTGTTCACCCTGACATACAGTATTACAGTCTGGGAGCCTTGCTGTGTAAAAAATCACAGATCTTGAAAGCATTGCTAAGGCAGTTGTGTCATAAAATGAAGGAAATATAGCAAAACAAAATAAAAACAAATTAATGATGGATTGCATAGGATTTCTAAAAAAAAGCACACACCTGTGGCCCTTGGAGTGTCTCAATTATGATTAGTTTCTCCATGTTTTCTGAGTTGTACCGTAGATGTGATGAAAGTGATTTGGCCCAACTCGTTTGGTTGCTGGTAGCTTATTGATCCAGGAATGATATTGAGCTAAAAAAAACACGTTTTTTAAAGAGATCCCAATGAATGGGTTTCAATAAATCATTTTATCAAGTCACCTTTTCTCCATACTAAATTCAGTTCCTTCAATCTAATGTATTT